AAGTGAGCCATGGCCTGGCCCCTTAGAAGGCACTTTTGATTTGTCATATTAACTCCCTTCATAGAAGTCATTACATCCCTTTTAGAGTTTACTATGATATATGGTAGATGTGGTATTTCAAACTTTAGCTGGGAACAGATGGCTTATTCAAGCAATAATTGGGACAATTATTAACCATTTGGAAAAAAATGTGATTAAATCCCAACCTCATACCTTACACCAAAATAAATTCCAAAATATCTAAAGATGCCAATGGAAGGAAGGAAGGCAGGAAGGAAAGAAAGAAAGAAAAGTAAAGAGAAACAGAAATCCCATGATGAAAGCATTGGGTGAAAAAACCCAGAGGCCGTTAGGGGAAAAATCTATAAATTTGACTGTATAAATTTTTTAAAATTCTATAAGCCTTCTAAAATAATACAAAGACAAAAGACAAATCAGAAAAAGGTATTTGCAGATGATATTTGCCCAGTATATGAAACAACAGGGAAATAAAATGAACAAACAGAAATAAAAATGGTCAAGGATTTGAACATACAGTTCCCCCAAAAAGAATATAAATGGTCTATGAACATATGAAAATATGCACAATCTTTCTATTTAAAATAAAATTCAAATTAAACTTACTCTGAAATATTTTTCATTTACTAGGTTGGCAAAGATTAAATATGTTATTAATTTCAGTATTGGCAAGGATGTGATTAAACACGTTCATACACTGTTCATAGAAATGCAAACTGGTATTTTGAAAAGCAATTAGGTAATATTTATTAGAAATGTTAATATTAATATCCTTTTGATCCTGCAATTCCACATCTAGGAATTTATCTAACAAAAATAGATTCACAAGAGCTCAAGAGATATGCATACAAGGAAGCTTATTGCAGTACTGTACATAAAAGCAAAAAGTTGGAAACAGCCCAAATGTCCATTAATAAGAGATTATAAAATAAAGTATCACACATCCATACCATACCATAATATACCACAGTGCCCTTAACAAGCATGAGCTAATTCAAGGTGTTTAACATACAAATGTGTTTAAGGTGCATTGTTAGGTCAAGAAAAGCTGTATGAATAGTATGATCCTATTTTGGCAAAACAACATATGTTAACATATGCAAAAAGAAAAAATCTAAAAAATTAACTGCATTATATTTATTTATAATATATGTGAGATTCTGTGGTCTTTTCACTTTTGTTCAATTTATGCATTTTTTCAACAAATATTTATTGAACACTTACCATTTGGCAGGCAGTGTGCTAGATTCTGGGGATCCAGTGGAAGACAACAACCAAAGCCACTGATCTCAAGGAGCTTACGTTCTGTATTTCTACAGCATTAGAATTCTTCCTGGGCCGAGCCCATGGCACACTCGGGAGAGTGTGGCACTGGGAGTGCAGCAGCGCGCCCGCCGCGGGTTCAGATCCTATATAGGGATGGTCGGTGCGCTCACTGGCTGAGCGTGGTGCGGCTGGTCTCAAACACACACACACACACACACACACACACACAAAGAATTCTTTACAACAAACACCATTACCTTATTAGGAAAAATGTTAAACATTTAAAAGTAAATACTTTTTAGAGATTAATTTACTTCTTTTTTTTTTTTGTCTTTTTTCCGTGTCCGGCAACGGATCGCAACCCTCAGTGTTGCCCCCGTACCGGGCCGGGGACCAGCGACGGGATCGCAAGCCTCGGCATTGCTCCCGCGCCTCGCTCAGCCAGTGAGCGGGAGCCGGTCTGTACGTGGGATCCGAACCCTCGGACGGGAGCGCTGCCGCGCTTCCCAAGCGGGCACACTATCCAGTGCGCCACCGGGCCGGCCCGAGATTAATTTACTTCTAAGTCCTCCTTACCTCCTGCCTAATCCATTGCACCAGTCTCTGGTCCCTCTGTCCCCCTGCTCTGTCCTTCCAATCTATTTCTTTTCTTTTCCTTCAACTAACTAGACCCCACCCATTCTTTCTGCCCAACTTATGGCCAAGCTTTCCCGTGAAGCTGTCAATGACCCCCCAAAACTGTGATACCTTTCTCTGAATTGATGGCAAAAGCTCACGGACCATCCTGTTCTGCAATCATGTAGGATTCCCTGGGAACCAGATGCTGTGTCATTGTCATTCAACACACATAATGCCTGGCACACAGAAGGTACTCAATAAATGTTGGTTGAATAGAGATTGTGTTGGCAATGGAGGTGCACCAACCAGATCACCTTTCAAGAGAACTTGCTGTGGGGAGCACTGTCGGCTGAGAGCTTTCAGCTGCTATGCCCATGGAATCTGTGATATCTTCTGGCTTCTCCCAGGTAGCAACTGAGCATGGTAGGGGTACCAAAGCCCTGCTATTTCTGCCCAATGCAGGACACGTTAGCAGTCAACCTTTGCTTGGGGACTCCCCATCAGCCTGGCTGAGACTTTCCCAGAACCGCACTGCAGTCTGAAGCTCCTCCTACCCAAGCCTCCTCACTACCCACTCTCCTTTCTCAGGTGTCAGACCTGCACCATGGTCTAAAGGCTCCCCTTCCTTCTTCCTCCACTTTCCCTCTTTATCCCTTGCAGGCATTTTTCCCAGAAAAAAAAATCTGGGCATCCGATTTCCAGAGGACCCACACCAACACAGGAATCAATGAGAAAAAAAAAAAAGCTGGAAGAGAGTTCATAAATAGTAAGACTATAGATACACTTGCATAAGAGATATGTGTAAAAAGATGTGCAAGATGCATACTTCACAAACTGTAACACACACATGAGTCACCTGGGGATTGTGTTGAAATGCAGATTCTGGTTCCATAGGTCTGGAGTGCGCCCAAGATGCTGTATTTCTAAGAAGCCTCCAGGGGTTACCGATGCTCTGCTCTCCGTACCACACGTTGAGCACCAAGGTGCTGGATACCTTTCACTTGCCCCTGCTGCGTGTCTCTTCACTGTGCTCTGTAGACTGTATCAGCAGGCTCTGAGCTTCTGGCTACCAGTTGGGTTTGCCAATGAGGAGCACTGGTAAGAGATCAGAGGGCAGGAGGAGAGTGGGGTCAGAGGTTTTTATTCCTCTGGGGATTGCTCCATACTAAGTTGCTATGGGTCAGCTGTGTCCCTCTACCAAAGGCCATAGCTTCTATCAGTTGGCTCTCTGCAGTTTTCTCTCTTGCAGAATTCCAGTAACTGCTCTCCTTTTCTCCTCTTCAGGCCTGGAGTGGCAATTGCTCCCTACCATTACCAGCTCTGGAGTAGTGCACTGTCTTTTATGGCTCTTAGTTAACCCTGCTCACACTTCTGTAAATGGTCCTTTAGTAAATGTTCCATTCCTGAGTTCCCCAGCCAAGTGTGCCATCTGTCCCCTGCTGAGACCCTGACTGCTACAAGCTGTTCAAATCAAGATTTTTTTTTTTTTTTTTGGTAACAGCAGAAAACTGGGAACAAGCTAATTGTGTATCATTTAAAAATGATTAAATAAATTATGGTACATCTGCTGAACACTGTTACATGCAATCATTAAAAAGGATGCAGCAGATCTATATTCATGTACGTGGAAGATGCCCAAGATATTTGTTAAATGAAAACAACAACAACAAAAAGCAAGATTCAGAATAGCACGCATAATATGAACCTATTCATCAGAAAAGTAAACTATGCATTTGTTAAGCTTGGATTGCAAGTGATGACAACCCTGCTCAAAATAAACCTAACCAAAAAGAATGGGGGCTGGGGGATTTTCAGATTCTGTCTCTTTCTGTCACTTGGCTTTGTTTTCCTTTCTGGTGGCTTCACTCTCAGGCAGGCTGCCTTCAAGTGGTGGCAGAGTGAGTACCAGTTTGGCTTACATCATCCTGACATCTGATGACCTCAGCACAGAGGGCCTCATCCCCAATCCCTTCAGAAAAAACCCTGGGCTGAAGCCAATCAGGATGGGCTAGGACATGTGCTAACTACTGAACCACATGAACTGAGAGTGGGGGAGGAAGGCTCCCCAAAAGAAAGAGGTGTATAGAGGGAATATTTTGCAATAGACATTTGTTATCCTTTTTGACTGTCCAGCATCTGAATCTCCTTCCTACACCGGGGAGTTCCGTACCTTCTAGGGCAGAGGCTATGTCCTGCTACAGATGCTGAAAATGCCAAAAACTCACTTTCCCAGCCTCCCTTTATGTCAGGCAGAGCAAATGACCCAGACTGGGCCAATAAGATGCCCCGGCCTCAGGCTCTGACTCTGAAGCCAGTGACACCAAAAAGGGTCTGTGCAGACCCCATCCTGGTACAGGGTACAGCTGTGGCATGATTTGGGGCATAGTTCCTGGCTTAGGGCCTTCAAAACTAATTCTCTGGCTCTCATGCGATCTGTGAGATACAAAAGAATCTTGTATTAAATCTCCTTTCTGCAAAATTATCCAGAGCCTTGATTTCTGCTGTTTGCAATCAAAAAGTTTGATCAGTGCCTATATGTATGAGGGCATATTTGTATATGCATGAAATATTTTTGGAAAGATAAAATAAATGCGAATATTGGCTACCTATGGTGAGTAGGACTGGGAGAACGGGGGAGGAGGGAATGGGGCTTTTACTTTTGCCTTATGTCCTTTTGTACTGTTGGAATTAATTTTTTTTTACCATTTATAGTACTTTTATAAAGAAACAACTAGTTAGTAAAAACAAGAAAAGATACCAGAATAAGAGAATAAGACAAAGGTACAATTACTCAGGATTTTCACAGAAACGAATGTCTCCAAAAAGGAAGTCCTCCATTGTGGTGAATGAGGCCAAATCTGGAAGTGAGAGTGTACCACCTCGTACACAAGGCCTGAGTGATTAGCACTAGCCCCGGCACTCACCTGCTCAAACACTTTCCATGGCCCCCACTCACAGAATATATCCCAGTCTTCATCCTGGAACTGAAGCCCTTTGCAATCTGAGCCCTATGTACTTTCAAGACTCCTCCTCATCTTTACACTTTCCCAGAAGACCTTCTTATCCAACCCTGCAGGCTCAGATCCTAAGGACATTACCATCTTCTCTGATCTGCCGAAGCCATGACTCATCGCTGCTTCACTCTCTCAAGTTTTACTCTGTATCATAATCCTATATATATGAGGCTTAGTCATTTAACAGCACATTATTGAGTACCTACTGTATGTCTGGCCTTTTGCTGGACGTTGGGGCCACAGCTTACAGTCTGGGGAAACCAATGACCACTTACCAGAATGTTAATGTTATCATGATGGTAGGTGGCATGATGTTAGCTATTTGTGGCAGGGCTGCTCTTGTCAGAACCTCCTCTTTCCCTCTGCCTGGATTGCTCTTTCCCCAAAAGTCAGCATGGCTTACTTTCTCAATTCCTTCAGGTCTTTGCAAATGTGACATTTTCAGTGACATCTCTGCTCACCCTGTTATCACATCCCACCCACTATCCCATTTACCTGGATTTGTGTAATGTTCTATTTATTGTTTTAATAGCACTCATCATAATCTGACATACAAGTTATCTCCTTGTTTGTGTAGTAGCCCCCTTATCTGTGAGGGATATGTTTTAAGCCCCCAGTAGATGCCTGGAACTGCAGAAACCCTATATATACTATGTTTTTTCCTATACATACATACATATGATAAAGTTTGAGGCTTGACTAAAACTAGCATGAGTTTCTTTTTCCTTCTTCACAATTTCACAAATAGAAGATTTGTTCACAGTTGACTTCAGCAACCTCAGCATACATCTTTATCCTTTCCCTTTTGAGAACCTTCGCCTTTTCACTTAAAGGAAGCACTTCTCGGCCTCTCTTTGAAATATCCGAATTGCCAGCATCACTCCTCTCGCTCTTTGGGAGCATTATGAAGTAAAATGAGGGTTACTTGAACACATGCATTGCTGTGACAGTCGATCTGGTAAGGTAAACAGTGTAGATAAAGTGGACAACGGGGATTCAGGTTCCTGGCTGGACGGGAGCGGGGACTGCACGACATTTCACCACTGTTGCCCAGAATGGCACAAGATTTAAAACCCTATGAACTGTTTATATCTGAAATTTTCCATTTGATATTTTTGGACCGTGCTCGACCTCAGGTAACTGAAACCCCAGTCTTTGCGGATAAAGGGGGACTACTGTATTACAGCCTGTCTCTTTCCACTGTCAGCTCCAGGAAGGCAGAGATTTTATTCAGTTCCCTGCAGCTTCTCTAGCACTTAGAACAGTGGCTGACACAAGCAGGCACTCCATAAATACTTGTTGAGAACAGAAAGAGAATTGAACTAGATGCCAGAAGACAGTCCTAGTCACAGCGTTCCTGAAGGAAAGTGGTGTAGTCTTTGGCAAGACACAACCTCTTCAAGCCTCGGTTGCCTTCTCTGTATATTGGGCATGATCGTCTGGGCAGTCCCTGTTGGCTGACAGGTGTGAGTATCAAACAGTGAGGGTCTCCAGTCAGCCTGCATCAGAATCACCTGGAGGGCTTGTTCAAATACATGTCGCAGGCCCAGAGTTTCTGATTCAGTAGTTCTAGGCAGCCAGAAAAATCTGCATTTATAGCCATGTCGCAGTTGAAGTTGGTGCAGCTGCTGGTGCGTGGGCCACCCTTCCATCACCACTGATAAAGAAATCAGGTATAGGACGAGCTTGTAGTCCTAGAGGCTCGGCCCAGATGAAGCACAGGCACTAAGGACCCTGCAGGACACGGCAGGGTACCTGAGTGAACCCGTTCGTTCCTTAATTCAGCGGACAACTATTTAGGAAGCGCCGGATAAGTGCGGGGCGCTGGGGAGTCAGCGGAGAACGCCGTTCAAGTCACGGCCCCTGCGGCGGTGGGCTCAGACCCCGGCCCGGTTGTCCCCGGCTCGCAGCGTGGGTAGGGGCTGGGGCAGCCGCTCCGACCTCCGCACCCGGCAGGCAGGAGGTCTCGTTAGCCGCGGGAGAGGGCCGCGAGCGGGCCCGGGCGGGAAAGGTCCGCTGAACTTCCCGGAACCGGCACTGCCCGCAGTCGCAGACGGTGGAAGCACAGCCCCACTGCGCGCGCGCCCGGCACACAGTAGGCGCGCGGCCCCGCCCC